CCCCCCCGCGCCACGAAATCTGCACTTTCTCCCCTGAATCCGCACCTGCCACGAAATCAGATTTTAAGGCCCCACCGCCGTCGCTGTCTCCAGCGCGCGCCCTGATGGAAGGATTTCCTCATCATTGTCTGTGGGACGAAATCTGCACTGTATCTCCCGCACCCGCACCTGCCAAGGTCTCGACGGTCTGGAAAGCATCGGCTTGGGAACAACAGAGTCTGCAAGCAAGCGCACTCGTCCTTTCTACTCGGCCAGTCTCACGGATCTAGCGCTGGCGTTTCGCCAGCTCCACCCGAATAGTTCGGCCGAGGTAGCTGGATTTGTGCCAGTGTGAAACGGCCTCCGAGGCTCCATGAGGCGTGGAATAGAGCAGAGTCGCCGAAGCATGCTCCTTCTTTGGAAAGACCTGGGCGGGAGAGGGCAAGCTTGCGCAGTGAGAGGCTTGGACGCATGGAGACAACTCGGTGAGAGCTGCTCATGGTGAATTGCAAAAAGAGAACTCGACTCGAGGTTGCGAACGTTGCACAGCAGAACAGTCGGACAGCCGAGTTACCGTTGCTTCATCCAGGTCGCCCGCGGTGGCGAAATCACGCCGCAGGCGGGTCAACTGGATGTTTGGCGGGAGGTTGCCGACCCACACCAGCCGCTTCGTGGAACCTGGACAGGAACAGGGATGAGAAGAGAAAAGCAAAAACATCTACGCGGTAGTTTTAAGGCGTGGGCCGGTTAGCACCGGAGATCTGCTCCGCACACGTGTGGCGTCATCACCTCAGCGTAAACAAGCAGCCAGCACAAAAAAAAAATTGACTAAGACCAGACATGAAAAAGTCTGACAGCATGCTGAAGAAGGCCTGGTGGAGGTCGGAACGCTCTGTCCGGCGCAGGAAGGGGACCTTGCGACACGAACGCTGCAAAACAGGGACGATGGCATGTAAAGGTGGCCTATAACTTATACTTTCTGAGCTGTGAGAGGCCCGGAGGCCCGGGCCCGGCGTAGCAGGAGACTCAGGCCGTGCAGTGGGATCAGGAGGTGGGCCTCGTTGGACAAGAAGACTAGGTGCGAAAACACATGTGACAGCATGCATGTGGAAACCATGGCAAAAGGTTACGAAAAAGTTGCTCGATGCCTCGCAGCAGTGGCAACTGCATGTCACCATTGGTGTCATCGCGCATGCGTTCCAGCACACGGTAGTTCTGTGGGCCTGAGTGCGCTGGACGAAAGCTGCAGACGGTCCCCACTCAGACCCGGGTGGTCAGCGCGTTGAATGTGCAGACAAGGCACATATCCACGGCAAGGAGTCGCTGTAGCCCCCCAGGCCGTCAGCGCCAAGCTGCACCCAGCCATCCACTCGTACCGCCAGGATGCGGCGAGTGACAACCTGCCAGCGCCGCATACTTATCCCAAACAATCTGAGACTGTCGATATCACACGCCCATTTCGGTGTCTGTTTGACTTGCATCCGCCACCTCACTATTGTGGTTGGTGTGCAGCGCTCGCTGCCCTAGCAGCGCACCGAAGGCGCTCATGGCCAGGCTACAACGATCGAAGTTCGACGCGGACAGTTTGCTGAGCTGACAAGCATCGTGCACAAGCAAAGGTTTCTGTGGAAATCCCTTAGACGACAGAGTCCACTGACAGAAGTAGGCATGGTGCAGTAGCATCCGGCACCAGAAATTCAAACTGACAGTCACGTAGCTATGAAATGCATAGGTGCATATATATATATATGTATATATATATATACGACTGTATGTGTATATATATATATATATATACAGCGTATACCTATGGAGAAGGAAAGCACCTTGCAGAGTCACACACTGGCTCTTTAAACTGTGGCAGGAAGATCAAATCTGCTACGGATGTCCGGCCGAGTTCCTAGAAGCTGCGCTCAGTGAAAGACTTTCAGACCCCAAAAGCACCCGGCATGGCGCCGGGAGGCGTGGGAGCTGGCAAGCCACCAGCAGCACTTGGAGGAGGCACTGCAACCGTCCGCGGTCGCTTGGTTGTGGCAGGAGAGCTGTCCACACCAGGAGCAGAGTCGCCGTGCCAAGGTGCACCATGCGGCGGGCCGTCGTGGAGCACAAGCCGAAGATTGCGGAAGAGCTGTGGCGACCTTGGCGTCCGACGTCTGCAGGGCACTTTCAGGCACTCCAGCGCTGGAGAGCTGAGTGAGCACATTTGGACCCGTAGGCCAACTCAGCACAATAGGAGTCTGCGCACAGCTGTTGATCAGCGTTGTGCATGCAAAGTGGGTGTTGAACGCAGTCACAGTTTCCGTACCTGGTGCGTTGAGGTGCCGCTCCACAGGAAATCGACAAAGCTTCGTGATCTTCGGGCCACGAACATTGTCCCTCACGAGGATGGCTTGGAAGCAGCTCAAAGTGCTCAGCGCTGCGTTCTGCATCTTGGCCACACGGCGGCCCTGCTCTGGGTCGAGAGTCGCCCAAGTGGCTTGAATTTCCTTCAAGGGCATCACTGGTTTCTTGGAGGAACAAAGGGAAAACAAAGCTGTGACGAAGGCAGCTGTGTCCGTGGCAACTATCTCTGGAAGCTTTGAAGGCTCAATGGCACAAACCTCCTGCAGCACGAGTCCACCACAATCAGCCACCGATGCAAGTTCAGCCGCAGCCGGCTCTTGGCATGCATAGATGCGTCCAGACAAAGTGTTCAGGTGCGGGCGCTGTGCCTCCAAAAAATCCAGGACAGAGACGCTCACACGAAGATCCGAGACACCGATGGAGTTACGAACCTCTGGCACAGGAACCGACTCCGCCACGGCTGCCTGTCGGGCAAAAAATTGCTCCAGGAAGGTGTGAGGCAGAGCGTAGCGCAAAATCTTGGTCTTCTTTTTCGACAAGAAGCCAGCGTGACTGGCATTGCCAGACGTGGCAGCCACAAGTTGTTGGTCTACCAGCTCATCATACCAAGTTGCAAAGTCGTGGGCCTCGGCTACGGGGATGCGAAGGAACCCGGTGAAGGCTTCTATGAGGGGCTGCACCGCTTCAGAATGGAAGTGCTCCCACATGGCCCGGAAGACTTCTGCAGCAGCCCCATAGATGGCTGCCTTATCCAGGTGCAACGGAAAGTCTGCCAGATGGTTGATTTGCGCGGGAAAAACAAAAGAATCCAGGCGGTTGTCAATGCCCAGCTCATCCCCAAACTGGAAGCATTTATGCTTGTCTTCCAGGTGGCCCGCCGTGTGGATGACGAAGAGAGGGCGCTCCAGCGTGAATTCCTTGTGATAATCCTGCACATCATGGGAGTAATCATCCCTGTCCCATAGCTTGCACAGTGTTGTGGCAGGAAAGGCACCAGAGGCATTGTTGGCCGACTGCATGAATTTTTTGCATTCATGCAAGACCACAAAACCTCGTCCTTCATTTTCCGGGAGAGACATGGAGTGGCAC